TTTGCATTTTTCTTGCGAGTGGATGATTTCTAGATTACTAAAACTTAAAATATCACTCTTTTGCAAGCTCTGCTGTGGTGTGCCTGCTTGTACTTCAGTAACTGCAGAAGCGTGAGAGCTCGCAAATGATGTGAATAAATTGATGCCGAAGAGTTTTTATGTCAGTAATTGGCAAAGTAAAACAGCGAGTTTTGCATGATCTTATTTCGCTACTTAGTAAACATATTAGTTTTTAGGCGTTTTCGCATATGTACAAATGCAAAAGCCCATATTAGTAAGAGGCTGTATGGTGTGTTTGCACTTTTTGTCACCCACTTTCAACTCGAGAACCAGAAAAGCTTTCTTTTCCGGAATGCCGGTGTCGAATTCCGTTTCCTCGTTCTCATCTCTCCTTTTCCTTCCATTCCCCTGTTCAGTAGTGGGGGCGATTGTTAGCTTTGACTTCTACAGTGCGTTTTCTGGATATTCGAGAACGGCTGCGAAGCGTATTTGCACATACACTTTTTGCGAAGAGATTTCCATCATTTGGTTGTTGCCTCTGACTTTAGTCTGAGCGAAGATTCAATCCATCTTTCTTCTGGAACTTTGACAGAGGCGTCTGTCTGTAGATAAGTGATTGGAAGTGTTGTGAATGATACTTTGTCGAGCGTACTGGCGCTGCATTTGCTTGCCCTTCTTTGCATAGGGTCGCTCTTCATTTCCATGTTCGCATATAGAGTGGTTGCTTGTTTACCTCGTCTCCCGGATTACGGAGACCAGTGCAGATTTACTTCGCGTTTAATCATTAGTTATCATTTCTCACACTGAGAAGCTTGTTATCATTTGTCAGTCCGTTCATTAGTCATCAGCTGGTCACAGACATTACTATCACTGTTCATCGCTCCAAAATAATTCGGAAATGTGCATTGAAACAGAGCAGTTGTATGTTTTGTGATTGATTTTCAGGCAACGCTGAATGTCATTAAAAAACGTTGCGGTGGAATGGAAGTAGCCTTGCATATGCGATCACTGGCTGCCACATCTCTAGCTGCTTTATCGCGGCTTTGCGTCGGTATCCGAGATTCCACACTGATCATCAATTTACCTGGGAACCCAAAAGCAGTGAAAGTGAGCCAAAATTAGATCCGCTTCAAACCCTGTCTTAAAAACATGCAGTCATTCTTTGCGCCTTTTTTTGAAAACTAATGAGTTTCGTATTTGCTGCAAAATGCCGAACGTTGTAGAATGATAAAGGAATGGGTAGCTACCACTGGTAGAGCTGGTAGTTTAGGAACCCAACTTCATCTCAACATGAGGTGTGAGATCTTGTCAGGATGTAGTTCCTATGCTAAGAGCAAGGGTGCCAAGACGAGATTTAGTGAAAATCTACTGGGTCACACAGTGCATACTCACTATTCGCGAAAATTACCGAAGTTTCGTTTTGGAATTTAAGCATATTATAGGAATGCTTTGAAGTTCTGGAAGAAACATTGCCACACGCGATGGATATTCTGAGTGATAAAAAGGATAGCATCAAAGATTGCCACTTCAGCTTGACGACTGATGAAAAGCTCAACGATGGTGACTCAGGCCGACGCCATTCGTAACGAATACTAAACACACTTTTATGCAACCAGTCTCTGACATACTAGCTGCACTTACGCTCGATATATACCTTTATATAATTGTACATCCCTACGCAGTGGCAAATTCTGGCTCATAGTGGCAATTACTACACGTCGGCTCGGCTCGGCTGACACGATACAGGATCTGCGAAAAATTTTTTCTGCCAACGCGGGTGTCCTTGCCCCACTGTGGCATTGGACGTTGGGTGCCGTAGATGGGGTGGGGGTGAGAGTGGTGATGCGTACGAGTTCCGAGAGCGGGAGTTCGAGGCAGGGGGAGAGAGTTGGGTGAGATTGAATGGCTACGTAGCATGAGTACTTGACGGTTGCCTAGGCCATGTAAGGGAGGGGGAAGGTGATGGGTGGAAAGGAGGAGGAACTATGCTGCTGGTTTTCACCCCGGGTATGGGGAGAGGGAGCTTCAGACGGCACAGGAGGCGGAGCGGGGGAGGGGGAGGAGGAGTTGGCAGTGCATGAGCACATTTTTTGGGTGTGGTATTCCAGGCAAGGAGAGAGAGTTGGAGTGAGCGTGGAGACGGGGGTGGGGGGTTGGCATATGCAGGTTTCGCGCGCGAAGGTCCAAGGCAAGCGGAGGCGATTGAGTGGATACATTGAATGGCTGCGTGGCGTAGGTCCTTAGACAGTTGTCTAGACCGCGTGAGGGAGAGGGAAGGAGGTGATGCGTGCCACTGATAGCCAGGGTAGCGAGAGAACTGAAATATTGCTTGTTTCCAGAATGCTCTTATAGTGGGCATGGAAAGGAGCGCAGATGTTGCTTTGCAGGCCGGATTTGAGGACAGTGTAAAGAAGGGGAACAACGTTACAATTCGGAGTTCGAGGCGAGAACTCCAGAAAGTAGTAAAGAGAGAGAGGGAAAACAAACCACTGCAGAAAAGTAAATCAATTCCTGGGCGCAGGAATAAAATGGAAACCAAAAAGAAAAAGTAGCGACGCACATCAGGGCAGCGGTGCGGTCGAGCGTTTAGTGCAGTTCTCTCCACCGAAAGGTTGTCTGGTAATGATTCTCACTGCTTTGCACTGTCACATAATATATTAAATAGTGATTTATGGTTTTTTGTTAGAAATAGCATAAAGAACAATTGCGTCATATGATGCAGTGCCTTGGTCTCTGATTCAAACTTTGAACACCCTGTCCTCGTCAAATTTTCGCAACTTTAGTAATCTTTGACCCCTGAGGTGTAAAGGCACTCGTCGCCCCGGGGTTCCAAAGCTAGTTGAAGCCACACAGTAAGCTACTCTCTTCTTATCCCTGTTCTGGGAAGCTTCGGCTCCACACCATTTTTTTTTTCTGTTGCCTTTTATTATTATATACTTATAAATATGTGTATATGACTAGGTATCTTCCACACACACGCACACACACAAGGCACACCATTAGTCTAGAATATTAACTTTTAGAGTCGCGATAGCACTTTGATCGGTTCAAGAATAGTCGAAGTGTTGCCTGGCTCCTAAGCTGCAGAATTTCCTACTAAAAATTTCACGCATCGTGCTTGAAAGGCGAAACTGAATTTGAGATCTGGAAAGGTGAATATTCTTCCAGAATTTCGATCTAATTTTCTAGCTTTCGAGTGATTTTTGCGACAAAACTTTCACTTGGTCGTACATGAAATCTCGGCATGCTTAGGGGCTGAATTCGAGTTTGTGAAGCCCCTCCTTAGGCAGGAAACATTCTGCTGAAGTTTGCAGCCTCCTTACTCTTCTTGCTGCCGAGGTAATGATTTTCCCGCCAAAACTTCCACGGGGACGTTGAAAACTTGTGGAGTTGTACGTGGGCTGGGGATGCCACGCTAAAATTTCAGATTCCCGACTTTCGTGGTTTCGGAGACAATAATTTCCCTCGCCGAATGTCGAGAAGATGCAGCTTCTCGAGAAGCATAATCCATGCAGTTTCAATCAAATTAAGAAGTGTATGCAAATGTTTGAATTCAAATTCAAAAATGTATGTATTCCGTGTATGTGTGTGTAAAGTGCATATGCACTTTCATCTTTGTATGCATATGACGCCAGGAATATGAGTCACCTGGGGCGGCTGTTCACATTCCTCGGCGGGCCTAAGACTTCCACCGTGATGCCTATGCCCGATGGGGGTAGAACTTCCGGGTGACACCGATGTGCTGGCGTCGCCCAAGCCCTTCGGCTAGTCTCCTCATTCTGCGAGGAAACGACGACGACGAGCGGCGGCGGACAGTACCAAGGATGACCAGCAACAGCCGGTAATACAGGACGTCGAAAACACCCCCAACCCGATTTTTAGTTTTATAATTTGATGATACATAATGTATAATGTATATCACTTGCTACGTGTTCGCGCTTATGTTCACATTACGTTCATTCGTTACTTTTTATT